CCCGGGCCTGCTGCCGCTGATGGCAGGTGAGGGGCGCGGGCCGGGCGGGGCCGACCGGGCAGGGACGGGCGCCGGCCGGGCCCGGTAGCCTCAGCCTCAGAGCCCCTTCCCGCAGCGCTCGCCTGGTTCTCGAGGCCCACTGAGGCGGATGAGGAGCAGCAGCAGGGAGCGGGCGGGGCAGCCGCCGAGGACGCGGCGGACGAGGCCGAGGCCGAGATCATCCAGCTGCTGAAGCGAGCCAAGGTGAGGAGAGACGACCCAGCGCGGTAGGTGTTGTGAGCACGGCCTTGCGGACACACCTTACCGTCCTCCTCCAGAGAGTAAAAGTGCCCCCCACTAAATGTCATCAGATGAGGGTTGGAATCCGTCCAGGCTTGTCCGATTCCACAGCTTGCAGTAAAACCGCTGCAGCCTCAGTTGCAGATGAAGCGACTCTTATCCGAATATATGAGGAATGTTTTGTGGTGGTTTTGATCGGTTAACCAGCTAAGCTGCAATGGCATACTTTTGCACACGTCCTGAAAATGCACTTTAGCCTTCGGCATGTGAGTTTATTGTTTCTGAATTCTTCCTTTTCTCTACATCCTTCTGTGTTTTTCCTCCAACAGCGTCCAAAATCTACGCCCTGACTCAAGTGTGTTACTGACATACCATGTCCGCTTCGAGGCCCCACCCACCCCTGCGTCTTAACGTGCCTGAAATTAAACTCTTGACCGTGCATGCCTGTCCAGTACATTCTTTCACCATCTCCTCAGCCTGGAAAACCTCACAGTCATCCTGTGGAACTTCACCCCTGCATCTTAATACACTTGTAGTCCAGCAACAATTACTACTGCCACCAAATCCAAATATTTCTCTAATATGTCCCCTTTCCTCTGTCTCCTCTGTTGTCATCACTGTAAGGCAAACCATTACTGCCACTGCTTGCTTTTCAGGACTCTTTCCTGCCCTCCTGTCCCACTTCGATCCATTCTCCATACATGAGCCAGAGAGGTGGTTTTTTTTTTTTTTTTGAATTTAATTTATCATTATTATTATTTTAAAAATTTGACCAGAGAGAGACCAAGAGGGAAAGTGAGAAAGCAAGCTTCCAGGTCTAGCGCTTAAACCACCATCAGCCATTTGAGAGTCCAGCACCTTAACCGCCACCCTATTGGCTGGCCCCCGTAATGATTTTTAAGAAAGTGTAAGTTAGATCATATGAAAACTTATAATGACTCCCCACTGCACTTAAGATAAATTCCAGGATCCTGGCTGTGGCCTGCAGGGTTCTATCTGATCCAAGCCAACCTACCTCATGCTTACCATTTGCAATAACACTCTGGCTCACCAGCCTTCCTTCACGTTTATCTCCTTGCATTTCTTCTGAAGAACCTATCTGGGGCTTGGTGATTAAGGTGCTGGACTCCTACATGCCAGCCACAGTTCCAGTCTCAGACCTGGTAGCTTGATTTCTCACTTTCCCTCTCTTTCTCTGGTCAAATTAAAGAATAATGATTTAAAAAAAAAAAGAAATACCAAGTAAATCTTTTTTTTTTTTTTAAAGAACCAATCTGTTCGGGAACCAGCCAGTAGCGTAATGGCTATGTCGCTGGCCTCCCATGTACTCAACTGCGGTTCATGTCCTGGACCCAGTGGCTTAAAACTCAAGCCGGGTGCGTGTGCGTGCATGCCTAAGATCCCGAGAGGAGAATGGAGGAGAAGGGATTGAGGCGTGACCATCCCCTCTGGGGGGTGATTTCTCGCTTTCTGTCTCTATGTCTCACTCTGTCTGTCTGGCGAGCACAGGCGCCCTATAGCAAAAACCTCTCAAAAAAAAAAAAAAAAAGAACCAATCTGTTCAGCCTGCAGAAGCTTCATTCATTCTCTACCCTCTGTGAGTCATCCTTCCCCCATCCCCATAACTTTGGCTGGCTCATTCTCATCCTTTCTACCTCATTTTAACTATCACTTCCTCAGAAGGCTTGCTCGACTCACATTTAGAGTAGACACCTCATCACTCCTTTCTGTCACACTGTTCCATATTCTTATCATTGGTTGTAAATACTCTTACTCATCCTACACGGTCACCTCCAGCTTGCAGCAAAGAGAGTGAGAATGGAGGGCAAGTAGCTTCCTTATAAAGTATGATGGGAATGGCTCACATAGCTTCTGCATATGGCCACACCTAGCTGCAAGGAAGGCTGACCTCCCTGTAACCTCTGTAGACGTAATGCCTGCTACATAATAGGACTGGTAATATCTGATGAATGACTAGCTTCCTTCTGTGTATTGGTGTATATAGCTATAGCTCTTTATGTGTGGTAGCACATGTATTTGCATTCTTTATATTTCATTTTCTAATATTTCCTTTGACCTCTCTTTTCAGTTGAGCATTATGAAAGATGAGCCAGAAGAGGCTGAGTTACTCTTGCACGATGCTCTTCGTCTTGCCTATCAGAGTGATAACAAGAAGGCCATCACTTACACTTATGATTTGGTAACTCTTCTAAACAGTCTGAGCTACTGATGAGGAAGGGTGGATGCAAGACAAAGATTGTTAGTTCTGATTTTTTTTTTTAAGAGGTTTTTACCTTAGGGCACATGTGCTTGCCAGAGAGAAACAGTAAAAGGGAAAGTGAGCAATCACCGCTCGGAGGCGATGGCCATGCCACAATCCCTTCTTCATTTTCCTCCCAGGATCTTGGGCACCCATGCACATGTGCTGGTGTGAGTTGAAGCCACTGGGTTCAGGATTCTTAACAGTGGTTGGCACTGTTGGAGTCCAGCAACATAACCACTATGGCATCTGCTGGCCCCAGTTCTCCTGATTTATAGTTCTGACCGTCAGGGTGTCCTAAAGCGTTAATTTCATCACTGATGAGCAGACCTAGATTTGGTTTGTCATCAACAAAGAATATGCAGTATTTGCTTTTTATATTTCTATATTGTGTTTCTAACAAATTAATTAGTGGCATACTTTTCATTCTGAACTTTTTCTTTAATGAGGGTGAAAGTTAAAGGGAATCTTTAGCTTAAAGATGTTGAAATAAGTAGGAATACAGTGCTGTAAACTGAAATATAATGTGTAATTTGCTTTCAGATGGCCAACTTAGCATTTATACGGGGTCAACTTGAAAATGTAAGTAAATCATTTCTTAAAATCTTGAGTATATGAAAGAATAGCTCAAGGGAACTGTAATAGTAAGGGTATAGGCTATTCTGTAACAAAGAGACTCCAAATTACAGTGACTCAAATAAGATACAAGTGTATTTCTCTTTAATGCATTAGTTCAGAGGCAAGCTGGAGACTGAAGGGAGGTAGGCCCCTCTGCCCTCTAGTCCAGAAGCCCAGGTGTCTGGTAAGATATGTCCTCATCTTTGTGGGCAAGCCGACTCACGTCCAGCCCACAGAAGGAGGGAAGGCAGGAGGATGGAAGGAGGAAGATGGAGGTCAAGTAGCTGCCTTATAAAGTATGACTTAAAAGTTTTTCACATTGCATCCACCTGCATTTCTTGGTGATATTTTTATTATATGACCACACCTAGCTTTAAGAGAGACTGATCTGCTAAAAACTGAGAGGACTCTAACTAAAAAGACAAGAAAGAGGGAGAATTTTAGGGGACACTTTACAATCTCTGCCACAGTGGATTTGGATGAGAAGTTAATCTCTGAAGTTGGTTTCTTCTCATCACAGTGCAGCTTAAGGCACAAAGAGGATGTGGGGTCCTGATATTGTGATTGGTTTCTTTTCACCAAGGTACTTTTTGCTTGTGGGTGTTTACAAGGAATGATGTTTCAGATTCTTATTTGGGATCTAGGGTCATACAGGTTGGACCTAAGCGGGAAAAAAAATTTTTTTTCTTATGCTTTTAGGCAGAACAGCTTTTTAAAGCAACAATGAGTTACCTGCTTGGAGGGGGCATGAAGCAGGTAAGGGCATTGCTTGGTATTGACCCCTCAGTAAAGCAGTTTTCAAAATAGTCTTGATTCCTAAAAATGCTTCCGAGCCCTGAATATGTGCCGTAGCCAAAATAGATGGATCTTTCCCCCCCGACCAGTATAAAAACTGTCAACTTTTCACTAATGCAAAAACAGGATTGCCGAGGAATTTGCAGTTGGCTAATTCCTCTAAAAGAACAAAGATTATTGGGTCAGCCTGTGGCGTGGTGAATAAGGCAGCAGGATTCCTCATGGCCAGTAGTGCACAGTTCAAGTCCTGGACCCAGTGGCTTGAGAAACATACTGGACACCTGTCCTTGCATGCCCAGAATCCTGAGAGGAGATTGGAGGAGAAGGGGTTGCATTGTGGCCATCCTCCCAGGGGGTGATTTCTCACATATTCTCTCTCTCTCGCCTTCCCTCCTCATCTCTCTTTCCTTCTCTAGGGAGCACATGTGCCCTGTAGCAAAATAAGTAAATAAATCATAATAGTAATAATAAAAATAAATAAAGACTATGGCTTTCTGGCCAGTCTAGAAGTTGATCTGAGATCTTCCTTGAAAAAAAACTGTACTTATCATGAATAGTTTTCATTTCTCTTTCTCCCAATAGGAAGACAATGCAATCATTGAAATCTCCCTAAAGCTGGCCAGTATCTATGCTGCTCAGAACAGGTAAGTAGAGTCAGTCTGGGTATGGGAGCAGTCATAGGGCTGTAGGTGGAAAGCTTTGATCCAGGATGGTATTTAATCTTTTATCTACTGGTCATCTGATTTCCAGAAAAATTGGCTGTCACACTCAAAGTGTTTCATCCTCCGTCTTTGGAATAAGATTCTCCAGTTTTGCCCCCGCTGTTTCCATTAGCCTCAGTGCTGGCTGCTCTGTGACAAAGCTAATCAGGTTTTCTACTCCTGCTTGAAGTAAGAAAGGGAGTTAGAGTTAGCACTTCAGCTTTCCTAGAAGAAAAGGAAGCAGTGTAAAAGCGGCTGGGGAGGGAGCTGCAGATGACATAATGGTTATGTCCCTGGACTCCCACATAGTCGACCACAGTTTGAGTCCCAGATCCAGCGGCTTGGAACTCAAGTTGGACACCTGTGCATGCATGCCCAAAATCCTGGGAAGAGAATGGAGGAGAAGGGATTGCGGCATGGCCATCCCCCTAGGGGGTGATTTCTCGCTTTCTGTTTCTCTCTCTGTGTGTCTCTCTAGCAAGTGCATGCACCCTAATAGCAAAAATCTCTTAGAGAGAAAAAAGCTCTGGGGAAAATATACTTGTAAAGAAGCCATTTTGTGGGACCTGCAGGTGATGTGGTTTAGGTGCTGTATACCCACATGGCCAACCATGATTCAGGTCCCAGATCTGGCACCTTGCTTTCTCACTTTCTCTCTGTTTCTGTCAAGTGTATGTGCCGTATAGCAAATTAAAAGATAATAATAATAAGTAAAATAATTCTTTAAGAAAAAAAGAAAAAAAGCCATTTTACTGATGTAAGTATCTGCAAAAGAGGAAGTTAGGTATGACGTGAATGTCGAGAGAGTTGCTGTAAGCGCACCTCCATGGCTTCTCCAGCAAACTGTTTTTAGAGTATGTCGAGATGGTCAGAGCTAGGTTTTTGGAAAGGGAAATATCTAGAATTAGAGGAGACAGGACATAGGTGCTAATTTTATAATAGATGAGTTTTAATTTTTTTTTTCTTTCTAATTTGCTATAGGGCCAGGGAGAGAGATAAAGAAAACACTCCCAAGGAGAAATGGCCTTGCCACAATTTTTTCTCCTCAGTTCTCCTTTTGGGATATTGGGCACCTGGAATGTTTTCCACGCTTCCTTGTCTGGAACTCAAACCAGACCAAACCAGACCAAGAAGTTGGTCATGTGGAATCAAACATGACCATGTGGTTGGTCATGTGGGATCCAGCCACCTTAACCACTACACCATTGGTTGGCACAAGTCTTTCATTAATTTATTTATTTTTAAAGACATGTCTGTACTATTTTAGATAATCCAGGTCCTGACGTTTTTATATTTTTAAAATTTTCTATAGGACATGTGTGCTGGGGAGGGGGAGGAAGCTAATGAGATGTATTCCATGGGAGAGTGGCCACTCTGCAGTCTCATCTCCACTCTTATCTTGGGATTTTGGGCACAAACACGCAAGTGCCCAGCTGCTGGATACAGGACTCAAACTGTGTAGTTAGCCACGTGGGATGCAGCTGCCTCACCACCAACACGATTGATTGGCCCCAAGTCTTAATTCCTTTTTTTTTTTTTCTTTCTTTGTTTGGAGAGGTTTTTGCTATAGGGCGTGTGCGCTCGCCAGACAGACAGACAGAGAAAGACAGACAGAAAGCGAGAAATCCCCCCCCCAGGGGGGATGGCCATGCCGCAATCCCTTCTCCTCCATTCTCCTCTCTGGATCTTGGGCACGCACACACACGCGCCCAGCGTGAGTTTAAGCCACCGGATGCGGGACTTGAACCACGGTCGACTACGTGGGAGTCCAGCGACATAGCCATTACGCTAACTGCTGGTCCCGCCAGTCTTAATTCTTAAAAAACAGGAAAAACCTGCTATCTTCATGGAAAGGCTTTAGGAAATGGTTACATGTGTACCAAAGGTCAGAAAGACTGATAGAGCAGTTTTCTTTCCATATTCATCTTTCTAGGTAAGAGTTCAAAGATGAACTCTTCTTGAGAGTTTCATTTGGGATAAATTTGGGGGAGACCTGAGATTAATTTCCCTTCAGTTTTTAGTTGTTGCAGGAGGTGGTGTGGGAGGTTTGATGCTGAGCAAGTTCAGGGGCCCTGGCACTGATCCTGCATTTTGATTGAACTCTAGGTAGGCTAGAGCTTCTGAGGGCCTTTGACTTTATCTTTTGAGGACCTTTGACCTTCCTAGAGAGCGTTGTCGCTGGGATCAGCCTGCCGTGGAGGAGTAACAGGATTAGATGATGATGGGGTAAGAAGTCCAAAGCCGGTTAACATTAGAGTAAGACTGATTGTAGAGGCTACCACCACTTGAATATAGCCAGCTGCTCTTTAGCCTCTAAGCTGCTCTGTACTCTGCCTTTTGTTTTATGAAGAGAAGCAGCATGAGACCAGAAAAGACATGGCAGATCCTGAGTTGTAGAGAGATTGCTTTGGGAAAGGAGTTGTAGGACTCTTGTTATGACTGGGAGCATCTCCGGGCAGCCACCCTTGCCCATGTCCTGGCTGGAGATGGTCCTTCCTGCCAAGGTTGGGTCTGGGGAAGGAAAGGCACACCTGTGTTCTGAGAAGAGAGTAGCACTGTGGGGTCGTCAGCTCTCCCTGGGAAAGCAGCAAGAAGAAATGAGCTTTGTACTGTAACCTCTGCTGAGAAACTAGAGCCAAAACAGAAGAGCAGGAACCAAAGCTGAGCTCCGGCATGGAAAGGGAATTTCAGTTTCGTTCCTCTGCATCCCTTTATAGAAACCAATAGTCTTCCTGCCTGCTTGGGTATATTCTCCAGATGACTGAGGCCAAGGCTGCAGGGTCAGGCTAAATGCCTTCTAGTTCTATAGTTAGGAGTTCCAGCTCTGTAAGAGAAACCTTTATCAAGGAGCTACACCTTGGAAGAAGTATACAAGGGGTAGGATATTCATAAAAGTCATGGAAAAGTGTATTATAAAAAACTATGCAGGGATTTTTCGTACCATAATAAATACGTACTTTAATTTCATTTTTCACACTTTTTTTTTTAAAAGGTTTTTGCTATAGGGCGCATGCACTCGTCAGAAAGACAAAGAGACAGAGAGAAAGAACATGAGACATCACCCCCCGGGGGGGATGGCCATGCCTCAATCCCTTCTCCTCCATTCTCCTCTCGGGATCTTGGGCACGCACGTACAGGTGCCCAGCGTAAGTTTAAGCCACCAGGTCCAGGACTCAAACCACGGTCGACTACATGGGAGTCCAGCAACATAGCCATTACGCTAACTGCTGGTCCTGTTTTCCACAGACTTTTTGAAGTCCTTGTACATTGACTAAAGCAACTCAGAAGTTATATAAAGTCAACAGTTGGAGTGCTAAGTCCAGGGCGCTTGAGCCTCTCTTCAGGCTAGTATTACTTTGACAGCTGTATGGCTCGCTCACATGGAAAAAGGGAGTCACTCAAGACTGTCTGTCAGGGGAGATGATGAAGATGGCTGGTTCTGTCCAGTAACAGCACTACAGCAACATCTTTTTATGTCTTAAGTTTCATGTAATGGTTGATTTAAAAAAGAAAAGAAAAACCCTTTTGAGAAATGGCAGATTGACAACCCTTAGAGACTTGAAGCAATTTCTGCTTTCCATTTTATACTCTGTCTACTGATAACACTCAAATGTGTGCTGGAAAAATGAATATAAAAGGAGTTGTGTAAAGGTAAATGGCTGATTGTTGGTCTTTTGTTTTATAGACAGGAATTTGCTCTCGCTGGCTATGAATTCTGCATTTCAACTCTAGAGGAGAAAATTGAAAGAGAAAAGGAGTTACCAGAAGACATTGTGTCAGGTAAGAAACTGGACTCTTTTCTGGACTTTGGCTTTTCTCCTCAAAAGGCTTTCCCATTACACTTCAGGAAAGGGACAGATAGCTGAATTGAAGGAGAAAAAGTTATCCATGCTGGAAAATAAATGGCTATTCAAAAAAACGCAGCTGGTGAGGCCAATAGGTAGCATGTTGGTTAAAGCACTAGACTCCTACATGGCCAACCGCGGTTCGAGTCCCAGACCCAGTGGCTTGAAAATCACATCAGGCATGTGTGTGTGCATGCCCAAAATCCCAAGAGAATGGAAGAGAACGGATTGTGGTGTGGCCAGTCCCCACTGGATTTCTCACTTTCCCTCTCTCTGTCTCTAGTGAGCAAAGAGGCCTTATGGCAAAAAAAAAAAACAAACCCTCAGAGGGCTTGGGTAAGGAGTTTTGCATAGATAGACTTTTCCAACGACTTAATACTTTGTTGAAATAACTTCACTACTGTTCGTGTTTTTTGTTTTTTATTTTTTTAAACTCTTCTAGTGACACGTTTATAATGTATTAATTTTTGAGTTTCATATAACCTCTGGAGACTTGGGGAGCAGAAGAGGAAAGTCTGTCTTTGATCTCTTAGTTCAGCTACCAATTGTAACACTAATTAATTACCTTTGGCCCTAGATGTACAGTAAGTTGGAAGAGAAGAAGCTTATGTTTCTGCTGTTCATCCTCACTCATGGAGGCTAGTGGCCGAACAGAATGGGCAGGCACATGCGTATAGGTCAGCCAGGAAACATCCTGAGCGTCCATTAGGCCACTGACGTTGCAAAGCGGCAGTCCACTGCTGCGCCACCATACCTGGGCCTACTGCACACCCTCCCACTTGGCTTTTGAGAGATCTCACTGGTCTTTCCCTTTCCTGACCTCTGAATGTTGGCAGGCCTCGGGGCTGTCTCCAGCCCTCTTCTCTTTCCTCTCTGCTCTCACACTGTAGGAGAAAATGTTGAGTCCCATACCTTTAAATGTTAGATTTACACCCTCAGCCCCAACTTGCACTGGAGCAGCAGACTTTGGTATGATCGCCTACCTGACTTCTTGACTTGAATGTCCAATGGTTATCTTACACTTAATGTGTTCAGAGTAGCCCTTGAGGGACCAGCAGGTGGATAATGGTTACGTCGCTGGACTCTCATGTTGTCGACTGCAGTTTGAGTCCCAGACACGGCAGTTTAAAACTCACGCTAGGCACATGTGCTCGTGCGTGCCCAAAATCCCAAGAGGAGAGTGGAAGAGAAGGAATTGCAGCATGGCCATCCCCCCGGGGCTGATTTCTCACTTTCTGTCTCGCTTTCTCTCCAGCAAACATAAGTGCCCTATGGCAAAAAAACTATCTCTAAAAAAAAAATAATAATAGTAGCCCTCGATTTCTGCCACTTATGAACTTGTTTCTCCACCAGTCTACCCCAGTTTAGCAACATTTGTCTAGTTGCTTTGGCCAACAACCTAAGAATTATCTATGATTTCTTCCTCAGTTCTCATTTCTTATATGTATTTTTTTGTTTTAAGATTTAGCCATAGAGCACATGCATTTTCTGAAGAGAGAGAGAGAGAGAGAGAGAAAGAAAGTGAGAAATCACCCCCCTGGGTGATGGCCACAAATCCCTTCTCCTCTAGGGTCTGCTTGGGCTTTTGAGTGAACGTGTACATAAGTGTGCTTTTCAGGCCATTGGGTCTGGAATGGTCAACCATGTGGGAGTCCAAAACCTTAACCATCTTAACCACCTGCTGGACCCTCTTATATTAAAAGAAAAAATTTTAAAGTTTATTTATCTTATGGGAGACCTAAGATTAGCTTTCCTTCACTTATTAATTGCTGCCAAAGATAGTACAGGATGTTTGGACATTCAGCCTGATGCTGCAGAGAAAAAGAGACAGAGTTAGGCATCCCCAATAGTGTCTTCATGCTGTGGTCTAGCCCCAGTCTCAGCTGGTTAGAGAAGTCCCAGGATGTGAACCCAGGACCTTTCCCATGTGGGTCCAATTTTGTTTCTGCTGTGCCACCACCCAGCCCCTCATTCCTCAAATCTAATTTATCAGCAAGTTACAATGTGTCAACCATCAGATTATATATTGGGCCTTATCCCGCTGCAGTGGTCTAGGCTGTCATTGCTGCTTGCATGGACGCCTGTGACAATCTCGCAGGTTTTCCTGCTTCCTTCCCTTCACTGCCTCACACAGTCTGTTACCCGTGCAGCAGCCAGAGTGAGCCTTTTAAGACCTCAGGGCCTTTGCATCACCTCTGGAATAAATTCAGAGTCCCCGTGTGGACCAGTCAGTCCCTGTATGACCCGGCCTCGCTTCCTTCATCTGCGCCATCTCCTCCACTTCTGCCAGTGCTCGTCCTTTTCTCGCTGCCCTTGTGCTTCCAAGCTCAGCACATCTCTTAGAGTTTTTATCTGTGATACTCCCTCTACCTTCGCTGCTCTCTCATACCATTCCCTGCCTCTCCCTTCAGCTCAGATAGCATTTCCTAAGTGGAGCCCTCCCGTGTCCAAAACAGTTTCCACTTTAGTGTTGCCTTATCCTGTACTTTTCTTCATCATATGTGGAAGTAGAGGAATGTGTGTTCTGTGCTTCTGGCTGGATGGCCATTATAAGTACATTTGTTCAGAAATCTTAGTGTTGGTCTTCTCTGTCAGAGAGGGAGACTTCATTTCATCTGTTTTGATTACTACTAAATCCTTGACCTAGAGCAGTGCCTAGAACAGAGACCCAAGACTTACTGAATGAGAGAACAAAAGACCCAGCGAAGAACAAGTCAGTGCAGTTTCAGTGCCGTGTGGAAGCGCTTTGATGAAATCCATAAAAGGTGCGCACTCAAGTCTAGCCACCAAGTAAGTCACATCCTCGCTGCCTTTTATAGAATTGGCTATAGTTTAAGTGTAAAGCTGTCTTATCTGATTCTAGAAGTAATACTGGCTGTCATTGAAGAAAATGTAGAAGAGCATTAAGAAGAAATTAAAGTTCATCTATAATCAGATCAATAAGAAAGCATACTGGTTAATTTTTAGTGTATGACCTTAGATCCCACTCCCCATACTTTTCACATTTAAAAAATAAATTAGGGAATCATAATGTATGTATTACTTGTAGCCTGATGATTTTTAAAAATTTAGTAATATATTATGAAACCACTTCTTTTCTTAGGCTAAGAAATTCATGTTGGACAGATAAGTTGTTGGGTTCTCAGGAAAGTCATGACACATAAAAAAAGATGTGTCTTGACTTTCTCGACGACCATAGAAAAACATGTCATGACTTTATCAACGCCCTAATCTGTTGTGACTTTAACAATTTCCTTTTTTTTTTTTTTAAGAGAGATTTTTACTGTAGGGCATGTGTGCTCACCAGAGAGACTGAGAAGGCAGAGACACAGAAAGTGAGAAATTATCCCCCATGAGGAATAACCACACCACAGTCCCCTCTCCTCCATTCTCCTTTTGGGATTTTGGGCACACACCCACATGTGCCCAGTATGAGTTTTAAGCTGCCAAGTCCAGGGCTCAAACCATGGTTGACTACATGGGAGTCCAGCAATATAACCATTATGCCATGTTACAAACTTTTTTTTTAACATTTTCCTAGTTGTGCAATATAGGAAATTCCTTGTCTTATTTTCTCTGGAAAAGAAAATTCTCACTCAGATTTGGACAAAGCAGATTCATATGTAATGTGCTTAGTACTGGCAGGAGTCCATTACTTAATGTTGCATACAAACTTGTTCTAGGGTAGTTACTTTGTTCCCTGTGTTGTGAATATATATGTAATTACAGAGGAAGTGTCTGTAAAAAATTAATGAGACTGGATAGTTGCACAGTGGTAAAATGCAAATCTCTGTGAGGCATTCCCACTGAGAAAGTTCCTGGTCTGGTCCAGAGGCCTTTCTGAGTATACCAGGCATGCGCTTGCCCATGACATGCGGCTGGCTGAAGGCCAGGGCTAGGTAGTGTCATTAAAACCCTACTGGAGATTCCCTGTGGAAGAAATGAATAAATTAATTAAACAAACTTTTAAAAATTAAGTGAAAAACAGCTATAAAATAGTACACTTAGGAGGACCAGCAGGTGGCTTGTGGTTAGGGTGCTGGACACTCCCATATGGCTGACCATGGTTCAACTCCCGGACCTGGTGGCTTGCTTTGTCACTTTCCCTCTCTCTCTCCCTTTCTGTGTTTCTCTCTAGTCAAATTAAAATAAGTGAATGAATAAATAAAATTAAATAATTATTTTTAAAAAGTAGCGTACTTAAGAATCTTATTTTCTTTCTTTTTTTAGAGGTTTTTGCCTTAGGGCATGTGCGCTAGCTAGAGAGAGAAACAGAGACAGTGAGAGGTAAAGTGAGAGATCACCCCCCAGGGGGAATGGCCATGCTGTAATCCTTTCTCCTCCATTCGCCTCCCAGGATCTTGGGCATGTACATGCATGTGCCTGGCATGATTCTCAAGCCACCAGGTCCGGGACTTGAACCGTAGTCAGCCATGTGTAAGTCCAGCGATATAACTGCTGTGCCATTTGCTGGCCTCATTAAGAACCTTATTTTCTAAAATACATAGATTAAGTACAGCTATAGAAGGAGCTGAATGATCAATATCAAAATGTAGACATCAGTTTCCCTGAGAAATTTGTAGGGAATTTATATTTTATGCTTTTGTGAATATTCTATAATATTCTATAAGTTTGTATTTTTCTTTCTTAGGTTAATTTCTATTGTTACCTATATGTAGGTGACTTTGGAACAACATGGTTTGAAACTGCATGCGTCCACTTGTGTGTAGATTTTTTTCAGTAAATACTGTAAGTGTATTTTCTCTTCCTTATGATTTCTTTTTTCCTTTTAAAAAAATTAACACGGGCCAGCAGGTGGCACAGTGGTTGAGGCACTGGACTCCCATATGTTCAAGTCCCAGACCCAGAGGCTTGAAACTCATGCCAAGCATGTGTGCATGCTTGCCCAAAATCCCATGAGGAGAAGGGATTATG